AGAGAGAGAAATTATGATCAACAGCAACTATTACTGTCCGTTCAAAATGAAAATCAATTAAACCGTGAACAAATAATTGTATATGATTCAGTGAAGTCGTCTGTTAACAATAATGAAGGCAAAATATTRTTTTTAGATGCTCCTGGGGGCACGGGTAAAACTTTTTTGATAAATTTACTTCTCGCAAAAGTAAGATATGGTGGAAAAATTGCTCTTGCGGTAGCGTCGTCTGGCATTGCAGCTAGGTACGCTATAGTGTAGGGGACTTAAAACTAATATGATAGTGCTATGTACAGATCAAGATAATATAAATTTTGTCAAAGATTTACTTTTAATAGGCAAAGGCGAATTTCAAGCAACGAACGATAAAATAAATATTAAAAGTTTCTTTAATTCAGTACTCACTATAACAAAATTGATTCAAAACGTGTACCCGAACATTCAAAATATATCTTCTAAATCATTGAAATGGTTTCAAGAAAGGGCTATTTTGTCACCAACAAATGAGCAAGTCGACAAATTAAATGATTTGATCCTATCTAGGTTTGACGCTMAATCACAAATGTACTATTCAGTTGATACAGTTTTAGAAAAAGAGGATGCAGTCCATTTCTCAACTGAATTTCTTAACTCTTTAACGCCTTCTGGAGTCCCACCACATACACTGCAGATTTTAAAAATATGGGCACCTATTATTTTAATGAGAAATTTGAGCCCAACCACACTTTGCAACGGTACAAGACTACAAATCAAAAAATTGAGAAGTTAATTACTTGAGTGCATAATATTAACAGGCTGTGGTAATGGAAAACCTGTTTTAATACCAAGAATACCAATTATACCCTCAGATTTACCTTTTAAGTTTAAACGTATTAATTTCCCGTTAAATTAGCATTTGCAATGACTATAAATAAAGCACAGGGACAAACACTTAACGTTGCTGGATTTGACCTAAGCGTTCAATGTTTTTCTCACGGTTAACTATACGTCGTCCTGTCACGTGTGACGTCCAAATTTAATTTGTATATTTTTGCCGCCTCCCCTGCCTCCCCCGTGCGCACGCTTATGGTTATTATAGTATGTTAACAATGATTTTTTTATAGTTTTAATAAATAATGATTGGTGAGTTTCATACTATCGCTCCTGAAACTTTTTCACCTTTAATCTTT